TGTTACATATGCACCATATATAGGACAAGAGGAATTCTATAAGAAATTTCATAAAAAAATACTAGAAGTATTTTTTTATATTTGTATCACGGGAGACATTAACACAATAGTTGATAAAAAACTGGATTACAAAAGTAGTAAAACAAATAAGAAAACAAGAAGGACCCTACCTAGAACTCTTACCAAAATGATAGAAGAACTATCAATTCATGACATTTGGAGAGAAATAAATCCTGAGAAAAAACATATACATTTTATTCCAATGTGCATCAATCTTGGTCTAGAATAGACATGATTTGGATGAATTCGGAATTAAGTGGGAATGTGCAAGAGATTGAAATTGAACCAAATTTTTGGGCACACTACAATCCAATAAAAATTAGTTAGAAAGGACAAAAGAGGAAAATAAGATGGACTTTAAATCAATCAATAACAAAAGACAAAGAATGCATACAGATGATGGAAAGAGAAATGGGATTCTTCTTTAAAGAGAATAGAAAGGAATAGACTTCCTTACAGAACATGTGGAATACCGCAAAAGCAGTTATTAGAGGACTAGCTATAACATATACAGCACAGAAAAATAAGAAAAAGAAACAGTACTAAAAGGCGCTGGAAGAAGAATATAAAGCACTTGAATTAGAGTCACAAAAGGAACCACACAAGATAGGCTTAAGAAACCAAATGGAGCTGATTAAACACAAATTAAATATTATAGGAAAAGATGAACTGGCAGAACAAATAAAAAGAACAAAGCAAAACTTTTTTGAAAATGCCAATAAACCAGGAAGGTGGCTAGCCTACAGACTGAAAAAAGAAAAAGAGAAGAATTGGATAATAAAATTACAGGATGAGAAAGGTACATAATACATAACTTTTATAAGATGTTATATGATAATGACAAAATACCAGAGGAAAGAATAATACAGTATTTGGACAATGCTAACTTACCCAAAATTCCAGAAACGGTGAAGAATATGCTGGATGAAAGAATATCAATGGCAGAACTAACAGAAGCAAGTAAAAAGCAAAAAAACAAGGACCGGATAGTCTACCAGTAGAAATCTATAAAGAATTACAAGAAAGCCGGTCAATTTTAGAGGTATATAATGAAGTGCTATTGGAAGCCAAAATCCCAGATACATGGAAAGTGGCCTACATCACCCTGATTCCAAAAGAAGATTCACATATAACACAAATAAAAAATTATAGACCAATTTTGTTATTAAACACAGACTACAAAATTTCCACATCAATAATTGCTGAAAGATTAAAAAGATTCCTAATTGACTTTATTCATCCAGACCAAAATGGGTTTTTACCCAAGAGACAAATAAGAAACAATGTGAGAATAATTCTGGACACACTAGAATATTATGAAACTCATAATGAAAAACAATTAGCGTTAATATTTTTGGATGCACAAAAAGCATTTTATAACATAAATTGGCAATTTATGTTGCAGCAACTAAAATATGTGGATTTTGGTGGGAAATTTTTGAATATGATAAAGGCAATTTATACTCAACAGAAAGCTAAAGTATTGGTAAATGGAGATATGACAGAAAGTTATAGTATAAAAAAAGGAACAAGACAAGATGTCCATTCTCTCCATTATTATTTATTTTAACACTAGAAGTTTTAACCAGGAATATCAGATTAGATTTAGAGATAAAAGGAATGGAAATTAAAAACAAAAAAGTATAAATTACAAGCGTTTGCTGATGATTTAGATAGAAGAACCTTTAGAAACTGGCCCCAAACTAATAAAGAAATTTGAGGAATATGGAGAGGTGGCAGGGATGAAAATAAACAAAGATAAAACTAAAGTATTAGTCAATAATCTTACAGACAAACAAAAAAAGGAATTGTCAGAGAAAATTGGTTTACAGATAACAAAAAAGGTTAAATATCTTAGTATCCATCTAACAGCAAGGTGTGTGACGATTAAAGATGATAATTATTTAAAATTGATTCACCGAATTAAATTGGACCTGGATAATTTACAGTTATCTATGATAGGGAGAATAGCAGTCAAAATGAACATGCTACCAAAATTACTTTTTTATTTCAAACAGTATCAATAAAATTAGAAAAGAATTTTTTTGATGAACTAAATAAAATGACTGAAATATATTTGGCAAGGTAAAAAACTGAGAATAAAATTGAAAATGTTACAGGAATCTAAAATTAATGTTGGCTTTGAGCTCCCAGACTGAGAACTATACCACCAGGCAGCAGCTCTTACATGGTTAAAAGAATGGGTAAACTTGAAACACAGAAGGCTATTATTATTAGAAGGACATGATCTGCAATTAGTTTGGCACGCCTTTCTTTGGTAGCACGGTGCATAAATACTTTCAGAGGCATGATGTGAGGAATGCGTTGTTTAGCATATGGGAAAAAATTAAATCACAACATTATAGGAAAATACCAGTCTGGCTGTCCACAATGGAGGCATTAATATATCCAAACCTCATTAATCTAGGAAAAAATGTACTCTATAAAGATATTTTAAATGAGAGGAGTGAACTTAAATCTAGGCAACAACTACAGCACCAAGGGGTAGATCTAGCTTGGTGGCCGTACTTCCAGATTCAGTCAAGATATGAGAAAGATGTTAGAACATGGGGTATAAATAAAGAACCAACAACATTTTACAAAATTTTACAAAATTGACAAAATTTTAATGGTGACGGATGAAAAACTGATTAAAAATATATATAATTATTTACTGAACTACAAAATGGAGGAAGAAATAGTTAAAGAAACAATTATTGCTTGGGCAAAAACTTTGGTTATAATATAGAATTAGAGAAATGACAAAAACTTTGGGGCAGAAATTACAAATTGACCATGGCCTCGGCATACAAAGAAAATCTCTATAAGATGTTTTACAGGTGGCACTTATCATCTGCAAGACTGGTGAAAATGTTCAGCAATCCATCTGCCAAATGCTGGAAATGCAACCAGACCCCAGGCACCTATTACACACGTGGTGGACATGTGGTAAAGCAAAAAAATATTGGGAGAACATACATAACTGGCTGGAAACGATAACTGAACAAAATATTGAGTTTAAACCAGAAACATGCCTTTTAGGCAGAGGTGAAATCCAGCAGGTTCTGACAGGTTCTGGAGAACCAGTAGCGGAAATTTTGAGCAGTTCGGAGAACCGGTAGTGGAAATTATGAGTAGTTCGGAGAACCGGCAAATACTGCCTTTGGCCGGCCCTAGAGTGGGGTGGGAATGGAGATTTTGCAATATCCTTCCCCCAGGAGTGGGGAGGGAATGGGGATTTTGCAATATCCTTCCCCTGCCATGCCCACCAAGCCATGCCCACCAAGCCACGCCCACAGAACCGGTAGCAAAAAAAATTGGATTTCACCACTGTTTTTAGGTATATTATCAGAGGATTATGATAAAGTGACCACATATTTAGTGTTACACATACTGATGTCAGCAAGGATTGCATATGCTAAATACTGGAAAAATATGAACATCCCACCGGATAAGCTTGTAATTAGAAAAATTTGGGACTGTGCTGAAATGGACAGACTAACTTTAAAAATTAAAGATAAAGAAGATTCAGAATACTATCGGGCATGGAATAAATTTTATGAATGGATAGAGAAAAGAGGTAGAAATTAGAGAAAGTAAGATTATGAATGTTAATATTATAAGTATTGAATGTAAAGAAGTATATAACTATAAACATAGTAATTGATAATAATGTAAATAAGCTAATGCAAGAAGAAAGCTAATTTAAACTTTTTGGTTATATTATTATTACTACTATTATATTATTACTATTGCTATTAGTTTGTGAGCTAAGATTTACTACCAACTCTCATTGGTTATGTTCTATTTGTAAATGATACTCTGACAATGCACTGTTTTTCAAAAATGTTTATGAATGAAAATTTACAAAAATAAAACAAACAAACAAAACATGCAGATTCAGGAAAAAATTTTTTACAAACATTTGATTGAAAATCAGGATGTCATCCATGGGACTATTGGTTGGTTGGAGCATTTTAAAAACAGGTATGGTTTAAAAAAATGTGAAACTGTCAGGTGAAGCTGGTTCAGCAAATAATGGAAGTTGCTGAAGTGTTTATAAAACTTCTGAAAAACACTAGAAGCAAAGGGTACCTATTTGAGCAGGTTTTTAATGTGGATGAAACTGGATTGTTTTATAAAGAAAGAGAGATTACTCTTTTAAATAAAATATACCGAATCCCATTTTTTTCAGAGGACCAATACTTCAATAACTCTGGTTTCCATTTCTGTGGGGTTTTTCAAGAACAAACCCCACAGATAACAAGGATTGAGTGTATTTGAATAAAATGAAAAAGACAGTCTCCTTCAAGGCAACTTCATGGATTCATCTCTGTAGTTTTCTTGGAAACAGTAAGGAAGCATTTTATCGTTGCTTCCTGAAATGCTGCTTAATTTTCTCTTCTAGCCTTTGGCCCCAAATTAACTTGGTGATTTTCCATCTATTAATCAGCGAAAACTATCCAGGTACTGCTATTTTCTGAGGCTTTTTAATTTGGATGGAACTTAAACTGATCTTGAAACAGCAGTTAAAATGATAGATTTTATCACTTTAAAAATTAACATAAAATTATAAAAATAGAATTAAAAATATGGACTCTTGTTTGATTCTAATTAGCAACATTTTCTACATGAGCTCTTTTCTGACATTAGCTTTTCAATTCTGTAAAGAACAAAGACTCTCTTGATTCAAAAATGGAAGTTCTTTGCTCATTTTTTTCCTCAGCATGTGGGGTTTTCCCCCCCAACATATAGCCCTGTTTTCCCACCCAAGGTATCGTCATGTTTAATTGAACTCTGGGCATTTTGCTTAATTTAGAGTTAAAGAAGTATCCAGTTTACATGTGTATATGCTGATCCTTTTTTCCACTGCTTCTTTTAACACAATGTATGAGTTTCCTTTTATGTACTGATTATTGCTGATCTTGTCTCCCCTTCAGACTTATCACCTGGAACTGTATGTTTGAAACTGTTTTCTGGAGATTTAATGATAGCTGAATCAAACATCAATTACTATACTGACATGGAAGAAATAAGTAACTTGTTGTCTACTGCAGCAAATCCAGTGGAATTCATGTGTCAGGTGAAATATTAAATTAATATCTAATGGGGCAAAGTAAATAACCTCTCTGCTTTAGGGAGGGGGAAGAGGAGAGAGCTTGATATATCATTTAGATAGTAGTAAGATAGGACCAACTGTAAACCTGAGGTATGAGTAAGTAGCAAGAGCATCTTGTGAGAAATAAATAAATGGAGGATTCAGAAAACTTGTTCCTTGCTAAAATGTATAGTGTGTTTATTAGAAAAAAATATTTTTGAACTTTATGGTCTTGTTTAATTGTGATAATCTGAAGATCTCAAGGAGACTATTAAAGATAGGCAGTCTCACCTGGCTCTACACCACAAAGGGCTATATAGGTAACAAGCAGCATATTGAATTGTGTCTGGAAGCTCACTGTTAACCAGTGCAGTTCATACAGTAGTGGTGTCACAGGGGCTGAGACCTACCTGACACTACCTGCACTACTGCATTCTGTACCTGCAATGGCTTCCAACTGGTCTGGTCCAAGAGTACATTACAATAGTCCAACCATGAGGTGACCAGTAGTGCATGAGTGACAGTTCTTGCTTACATCTACAGCATTTTTCCTTTTTAGAAAGAAAAGCTGTTTAAATTGCATGAGTTTCTTTCCAACTTTAATGGGTTGGTGTGTACACAAGTGGGCATCCGTGGCTGTGGCATGATTTTGGGATCAGAACCAGACCTCTGAGCTGCTTCATTTGGGGGGAATGCAATGATCCATAACTGATATCATCCACTTTTTCAGAACATGATAGCTTCTCAAGTTTGTATGCTTGCTTTTCGGATAGAGAAGCGGTATCCAGCATGCTCTGGGCATGCATTATTCTTCTCAATATTCAATATCCCTGATTTAAGTTTCTTAAATTCAAACAAAGAATAAAGGAAGGAGACTTCAGCCATGAACATTTTTAATTTCATGTAGCTTGAGTTGTAAAATATATAAGAACCTCCTCAACATAGCTGCATTTCTGCATTTCTGCATTTCTGCAGTAATATTGTTAGAAGCTTCTAATAATATTGTTAGAAGCTTCTAATAAGCTTCTAGTAATATTGTTAGAAGCTTCTAATATTGTTAGGAGCTGTATATCAAAATATACAGTCCTCGATTTACAACCATAATTGAGCCCAAAATTTCTGTTGTTAGTGAAACATTTGTTAACCGAGTTTTACCCCATTTTACCACCTTTCTTGCTACAGTTGTTAAGTGAATCACTGCAATTGATAAGTTAGTAACCCAGTTGTTAGATGAATCTGGCTTCCCCATTAAATTTGCTTGTCAAAAGGCTGCAAAAGCTGATCATATGATTTTGGGACACAGCAATGATCATAAGTATGAATCAGTTGCCAAGCTTCTGAATTTTGATCACATTATCATGGGAATGCTACAAAGATTGTAACTGTGAAAAATGGTTATGTCACTTTTTTCAGTGCCATTGTAATTTTGATTGGTCACTAAATGAACTCTTGTAAGTCAAGGACTACCTGTATTACTATACTTACTTTTTCCATATTTATTACCTGATGATTTCTAAATGTTTGGTAGTAAACATTGTATATGTATGTAGCATAAGAAGATTCATTTTCGTATCAGCCATCAGTTGACTGCTACTGTCTAAATATAGAACACTGCTTTCAGTATTACTACAAACTTATTTTATTTATCAAATTTAGGTACTACCCATATCAGCCACTCATCTTCACTTTCTTTGAAGTTCGCTAGCTACTGCCATAACCAGGGGGAAGGGGGCATGGGGTGGGGGGGAAGGCATGCTGGAGGTTGAAAGAATGCTATTGGAGTATGGACACTAACAGGAACCAGAGGTGCCAAACTGAGCCATCTGCCAACCTTCATAGATGCCAGTCCTGGAAAAGGAATTTACACTGGTGCCTGAGGCACCGATTTCCCAAAACATTGGAATGAGACCTAATTGGACTGTTCTTCCAGGGGGAGGGTTTTGGACATTGGGGATTGCTTTCAAAATACAATTTTCACATGGTTTTTCCTCAGAGCTTGCCTTATCAATGCTGCACTCAGTATTTCTAGTAAAAGTACTGTTTCTCTAAAACTTATGGACTCAAGGGTTGTTCTTTCCTAGGAAGTAGCCAGAGCCAGTCTAACTACCTAAGTGACTCTGGGCTGCTATATAAAACCATATAAAAACATACAATTAAAATAGAATCAAAACAGGATGAGAAACAAGTATAAACAAAGATAAAATTGGAGGGAGTACCCTCAAGGCACCAACTTCCCCCCCCCCAAGTGGCATACCACTCTTCAATCCCCAAGCAAGTTGGCAGAGACAGGTTTTCACACTCTCTGGAAGGCAAGAGTCTGGATGCCAACTTCACCTCTGGATGGAGGATGTTTCATAGGTCACTGCAAAGAAGGCTCTTTCTAGATCCTGTCAGTTGAAATTCTTCAACTGATATGGTCTGTAGTATACCCATTTTGCCCGACAGAATGGGATGGGTCAATGTAATTGGAACAAGATGCTTCCTCGGGTAATCCAGTTGCATGCCATGAAGGGCTTTAAAGGTGATAACCAGCACATTGAATTAGATCCAGGAGCAAACAAGCACTCAATGCAGTTCATGCAATAAAGGTTTTACAGGCTCAGTCCTTGGGGCATCCAAAATTGCCTGCATAGCCACATTCTGTGCCAACTCCAGCTTATGGATCCTCTTCAAGGGTAGCCCTATGTAGAGCACATTCTCCTGAGTCCCTAGGGAGATGATCAGGGCATGAATGATTGAGAGAAGGGCCTCCGAAATAGGAAGGGGTGCAACTGGTGCACAACTCAAAGGCCTTCCTAGCCATGACTGCTGTCTGCTCCTTGAGCAGGAGTTGTGAGTCCAGGACATCCCCTGGATTATGTATGGATCTATCTGGGGCAGGGCAACCCCATCCAAGACCAAAAATGATAACCCCCCCCCCAAATACACAGGACCGACCCACTCAGAGTCACACAACTTACCAGGGTTCAATTGAAGCCTGTTCTCCATCCAGCCTTCCACAGCCTCCAAGCATCATGAAGAACACCGACAGCATCATTTAATTTACCCAGGTGAATTAAGATGAGTACAGCAGGATGATAGATGATCATCATTTTGTTTTAAGATTATTAAATGCTAATAATTTCTTAAGTTTTTAAAGTCACAGTCAAATTCTTAATACATTGAATCAGTACTGGGTATACATAATTTGTGGTTGTTCTCTTCTTACATCCAGGCATTTAAGATTGTACCCTATAACACAGAAGCTCTGGACAAAATCCTCACAGAATCATTGAAAAAAAACCTTCCTGCCAGTGGTTTGCACCTCTTAGGAATCAACCAATTGGAAGAAGAAAATATTACTAGTGAGTACGATGGTGATTTGGGTAAAAAAGCCTATATGAATGATTCTATACTAAATTCAAGTGCTACTACATTATGCAAAAGCATATGTTATATGAAAGAATTGGGCATGTGTGACTGTCTTGCCCAATCCTAGCAACTAGAGCAGTGATGGCTAACCTTTTTGCCATCGTGTGCCAAAAGCATGGGGAGCGTGGGGGGGGTTGCGCACGTGTGTGCCCACACCCATAATTGAATGCTGCGCCCTGCCCCGCCCCCCCACATGCATGTGCAACCCCCTGCCGACCCCCATTTTTGACATGCGATGGCACGGTGGGCCTGGTTGGCCTGTTTTTCACCCTCCCCAGGCTCCAGAGGCTTTCTAGAAGCCTGGGGAGGGCGAAAACAGCCTTCCCCACTCCTGCGGAAGCCCTCTGGAGGCCGGAAAGCCCATTTCCCAGCTTCCGGTAGGCCCAGAAGGCCCGAAAATCAGATGACCGGTGCGCGCATGAGCGCTGGAGCTGAGCTAGGGCAAGACTTGCGTGCCCACAGATATGGCTCCGGGTGCCACCTGTGGCACACGTGCCATAGGTTCGCCATCACGGAACTAGAGGAACTAGCACAGCTGTATGCCAATTCCTAAAACAAATATTTTAAGAGACTAAACAGAGATGTGTGTCAACTCTCAAAACAACTCTAGCTGCAGCCATATTTTTCTTGCTTTGTTTCTTAGTTGCCATACTTATGTGGGGGGGGGGGACTTATGGAATGTAGAATGTTTTTCTCCAATGTGCCAGACATAACAACGATAAGGCTCCTGAGAACCAAGGCTAAATCAGCAACGGCAGGGGGGAGTGCTGAGAAGTTCACCTGCTTGGTTGGCTAACCTGACATGTGACACGAGGGGGTGGACAGTGTCTATTCTTTAATTATACCAAAAATGTGGGAATTATTCAGTGTTGGTTTCACCTTTGACCATGCCGATATGATGTACCCAATAAACCGGATTTTTGAGGAAGCCAAGGCCTCAGAGTCTTGAATTGGTTAGGAGCATTACTCGGAACCATGACAATGTGGACAGAATACTGATCCTATTGTTGAAACGTTCTTTTAAGAAAAATCATAGCTCAGAAGAATATACATTGAAATAATGCCATTATTTCTTTATTGATATTTATTTATTTAATAATTCATGCTTTAATAGGCAAGTTTAATTATTGTAATAAAAGGCAGCAGTGGCAATGATCAGAAAGAAAGATTAGCATTTTTTATTTATAGATTTTTTATTCCACCTTTATTATTTCTATAAATAACTCAAGGTGGTGAACATATCTAATATTCTTTCTTTTTTTTTTTATAATGTTTTTTTTATTTTTTAAACACGCAAACATACATACAATGCATCATCAGAATATTGGCCCGGTTTTAGATTTATACAGATTTTTGTTCACCTTTAACGCAATTTTAACACAACATTATATATAAATTTTCTCATATCATTTATTCTCTCTAATTCTAAGAAACCAATATTACCCTTCATCTTAACTTCTCATCCTAATATAGTTCATTTTTTCTTTTCCCTCCTTAAAATTTGAGCCCCTAAATTTAAATTCATATAACCTAATACCATCCCCCATTATTACCTTAAATTCTCTTATTCCAATCACCAATGATTCTTTTATCAACTATTCCAAATAATAGATTGCAACAATTAAGCATATTAAATAAAAAATCAATTAAATATCAATCTTATTCCAATACTTCTACATTTACCTTTACATTCATAAAACATAATACAATTCCCAATTATTTTCTTAAATTCTTTAGTTCCAATCTCAAATAATTTTTTCTTTGTCAACTGTTCCAACTAATAGGCTTCAACATTTTTATATCATTTTTATAAAGACTAGTTAAATATATCTAATTAATTCATAATCCAATATATAATTAAGGGTATCTCATTTATTACAATCCCCTTCATTAATTAAAAATATTCCAATTATTCATACACCCATATAGTTTTAAAATCATTAGAAATACAATTTCATCTTTTATTCATTTACCTCATATTCTCCTTCCATTTCTTTCTCCTTTTCTGTTTATATTTTACTCTTTTTTTTCTTACCCCTTCTTCTTTTTTGTATTTTAAAATCCTGATCTCTCTTTTCCCTAATCCCAATATAGTCATTTTATTTATTTATTATTATTATTTATTAATCAAATTTCTATACCGCCCTACTCCCGGAGGACTCAAGGCAGTGAACAGCCAAGATAAAATACAGATAATACAAATATTAAAAGTCCCTTAAAATTATTAAATATTTTGGCCGAAACACAGATTAAAACACCCAATTTATAAAATCAAACGAATTAAAAATTTAAAAGAGGAGAGTTAGGCCAGGCCAGCCTGCTGAAATAAAAAAGTTTTGAGAGCACGACGAAACGTGCGCAGATCCGGGATCCTCCGTATCTCTGGGGGCAGCTCGTTCCAGATGGTAGGTGCCCCCACAGAGAAGGCTCTCCCCCTGGGGGCCGCCAGTCGACACTGTTTGGCCGACGGCACCCTAAGAAGCCCCTCTCTATGGGAGCATACTGGTCGATGAGAGGCTATTGGTAGCAGAAGGCGGTCTCGTAGATATCCCGGTCCGATGCCATGGAGCGCTCTAAAGGTGGTAACCAAAACCTTGAAGCGCACCCAGAAGACCACCGGGAGCCAGTGCAGCTCATGCAGGAGAGGGGTCACATGGGAGCGCCATGCCGCTCCCATAACCACCCGCGCGGCCACGTTTCGGACCAGCTGGAGCCTCCGGGTGCTCCTCAAGGGGAGCCCCATGTAGAGAGCATTGCAGTAGTCCAGGCGGGAAGTAACGAGAGCATGAGTGACCGTATTTAACGAGTCCCGATCCAGAAAGGGACGCAACTGGCGAATCAGGCGGACCTGATAAAAAGTCCCCCTGGCCACGGCCGTCACGTGCTCTTCCAAAGACAGCCATGAGTCCAGGAGGACACCCAAGTTGCGAACCCTCTCCGTGGGGGCCAATGACTCGCCCCCAATAGTCAGTGATGGCACCAACTGACTATATCGGGATGTCGGAAACCACAGCCACTCGGTCTTGGATGGGTTGAGCCTGAGTCTGTTTCTCCCCATCCAGATCCGCATGGCCTCCAGGCACCGGGACATCACTTCAAGGCACCGGGCATTGCTGGGGTGGTCCGGGATGGAGATGTACAGCTGAGTGTCGTCAGTGTACTGATGGTACTTCACCCCGAAACCATGGATGATCTCACCCAGCGGGTTCACATAAATGTTGAACAGAAGGGGCGAGAGGACCGACCCTTGTGGCACCCCACATACAAGGGGCCTCGGGGTCAACCTCTGCCCCCCTGTCAACACGGACTGCGACTGGTCAGAGAGAAAGGAGGAGAACCACCGTAGGATGGTGCCCCCCACCCCTAATTCCTCTAGCCGGTGCAGCATGATACCATGGTCGATGGTATCAAAAGCCGCTGAGAGGTCTAATAGGACTAGGACAGAGGAACAACCCCTGTCCCGAGACCTCCAGAGATCATCAACCAATGCGACCAATGCCATTTCCGTGCTGTACCCAGGCCTGAAGGCCGACTGGAACGGATCCAGATACGACGATTCATCTAGGTACTGAGGGAGTGTGCGTTAGCACACTCTCAACAACCTTCGCAACGAAGCGAAGGTTGGAGACTGGACAATAATTTGCCAACACTGCCGGGTCCAGGGAAGGCTTCTTGAGGAGAGGCCTCACCACCGCCTCTTTTAAGGTGGCGGGGAAGACACCCTCACTCAGAGAAGCATTTATAATCCCCTGGTGCCAGCCTCGTGTAACCTCGCGAGAGGCCAGCACCAGCCAGGAGGGACACGGGTCCAGTAAACATGTGGCTGCGCTCAGTCTGCCCAGTATCCTGTCCACGTCTTTGGGCGTCACAGAATCAAACTCTTCCCAGATAATACTCACAAGACCCTGCCTCCATCATCCCCCCTGAATCTACCCAGTCAGAGTCCAGGTGTTCCCGAATCTGAGCGATTTTGTCATACAGATACCCTCCAACAGGGCGGCTGGGCGATTATCTGATGACACAATAAGAGCGGCAAAATAGTTATACTTCGCCACTTTTATCGCCACCAGGTAGGTCTTAATATGAGACCTTGCCAGTGTTCGGTCAGATTCAGAATGGCTGGCCCTCCAACCGCTCTCCAGGCGTCTTTTCCAGCGCTTCATCTCCCTCAGCTCCTCAGTGAACCAAGGAGCCAGGTGAGATCGGCGCCGGGTCAGAGGCCGCAAAGGCACGACCCGATCCAAAGCTCCAGCGGCTGCCCTATCCCAAGCGGCCACCAGCTCCTCAGTCGAGCCGTGTGCCAGAGCCTCAGGAAATGGCCCAAGCTCCGTCTGGAACCTATCTGGATCCATCAGGCGCCTGGGGCGGTACCACCTCAATGGTTCCGCCTCCCTGTGGCGGGGTGCGGCGGTTCGAAGCTCAAAGCGAAGGAGAGAGTGATCCGACCATGACAAGGGCTCGATCACTATATCCCCTATCTCAAGATCACTCAACCACTGACCAGAGACAAAAACCAGGTCTAGCGTCTTTCCCCCCATGTGAGTAGGGCCATGAACTAACTGGATCAGGTCCATGGCCATCATGGAAGCCATGAACTTCCGAGCCACCTCAGACGCCTCACCGACGGATGGCAGGTTAAAATCACCCATGACCATAAGCCTGGGGGTGTCAACCGCCACCGTGGCTATAATGTTGAGCAGCTCGGGCAGGGCTGCCGTCACGTGGCAAGGAGCCAGGTACGTAACCAGCACACCCATCTGCACCCCATGACCCCACTTCACAAGGAGGGACTCACATCCAGCCGTCTGAGGAACAGTGGCCTCCCTGGGACCAAGACCTTCTCTAATGACAACCGCCACCCCCCCATCCCTCCCCTATGTCCTCGGCTGATGGAATGTGTGGAAACTGGGTGGGCACATCTCAACGAGGGGGACCCCCTCCTCCTGGCCCAACCAGGTCTCCGTAATACCCGCCAGGTCCGCTCCCCCCTCCTGAACAAGATCACAAATGAGGGGGGCTTTATTTACCACAGACCGGGCGTTGCACAGCATCAGCCGAAGGCCCAGGGCCTGAGGGTCTGTGCAACCTGGGGAACGAGAGGAGCATTGGAGGCTGGAGTGCGCCACCGCTTGGAGCCAGCGGGCGTGCGCTCCCACAACCTGATGTGGCCCCCTGCTCCCGCCATATCTGCCCCTCCCACCCACAGTACTGATGTAATATCCATCCACAACACAAGCTCTAACCCCCTCCTTGACCCTGGTTCCCGCACCTCTTTTGTTTTTTAAGATTATAAACTCTTCTCTTTTGTTGTATCTTTCCCATTATTTTCCATCCCTTTTCCCTTTTTCTTATTTTCTCACTGATAACCCCAGTGTAATCATTTTAAGTTTTTTATATTCTTTCTATTCCATCCTCTTTTCTTTTTTTTTCTTTCCCCTTTTTCCATTTTTTCCATTGTTAAACCCAATGTGATAATCATTTAATTTTCCATAATCAATCTCCTTGTCTTTGTCGTCTTCTTTATTTTCAGTCTCTTTTCCTTGCTTCTTGTTAGTTGTTTCTTTATCAGCTTGAATATATCCTAAATCAATTTTTTGGTCATCAAGTTCCAGTTTTCCATGCAACATTGTAATCATTTCTCTTATTTCCATTTTCAATGATAGGTACATCATTATCATCATTTCCTTCAGTTCCTGCGCCATTTTGTTCTTTTTAAAAAGTTCAGTGCTATAATGATTTTTTTTCCCTCCTGAAGATGGCTCTCTACAATCCTGTTCTGCCCCAGCTACGGACCCCAAAGAATGCAGCACACATAAAGTCTGTACAAACCTTAGTTTACTAAATTAAATCAGTCTTTTTCAAACAAAGGCTGTTAATTAACTTTCTTAGCAGCCTACAAGAATCCAAAGAATAAATTATCGTAATCTTACTATGGTTGGCAGAAAGCCCAGAAGCAATTTGCAGAGAACTAAGATCAAGACACGAAGGAGAGTGAACGATTGCCTCAGTCGTCGTCCTTCCTTAAATAGGCTAAGGGAGTGGCCAATTAGCCCCAAGCCTTACTCTCGAGGACACCTCTTCCTGAGGAGCCACTCCTGCCTTTTGGCAGCTCTGCGTGCCCGTGCATCGAGAAGAGGCTCCTCCTCTTCTTCCTCTTCACTTATGGGAGCTTCTGGAGGTTCTGAAGGCCCTGGCTGAATCCCGCCTCTGGCACCACATCTTCTCCAGCCTCCTCATTGTCCGACTCGAGTGCCAGCTGCACAGGCTGCTGCGTAGCACCACACCAGCCTCCTCGCTGTCGGAATCAGCTACTAACTGCACAGGCCGCTGACGGGCCACAACAAATCCACGTTTACAATTGGCAAGCTTAAAAGGCATCCATTTTGGTTGCAGTCTGTTTTAACAGTTTTTACTTACACCAAGTCAATTTAAAATTCAGTCCAGATTTATATAGTCCAAATTCCACATTACATTCCAATTAGGTTCCAATTTAGAGTCATTAACCAGTCCTTTCTATTAGAGGCTTTTCTTCATTTTTTTTTAACTCCCTTTAAAGTTTTCAAATTGAAAAACAGTCTTTTCGGGTTCTTGGTTTTTCTTTTTCTTTTTTTAAAGATTCTCCAAGTATTTTAAATCCAAAACAAACAAATTTCTAGTCGGGTTCTGTTACTTTGTAACTTTCACCTTACTCTTCTTCTTCCGTCCTTTCCCACGCCTATTAGCCGCTATTATGACGCCAGGACATTTGCAATTGTTTTAAAAATCCTTCCTTTTTTTCCCCTTTCTGCCGATGAGTTAAATATCACTCACCTGGCAGCAATATTCCATTCAGTTCTCCGCTCCTGCACATTGCTTAATCCGATTGCCCCAGTTTACTGCTGGTTGTAATGGCTGCCGCCCCCCACTGCAGAGTCAGAAAGAATTTCTTCTGACCTCCGAGGAACTTGCCTGTTTCTCTTGGTCTTCTCTCTTTCTTCTCTGTCCCTACAGGACAGATCTGGTCCGAAGAACCCTCTGCAGCGGTTCGTCAGCCTGGGATTTCACAGGGCTCATCAGAGCCTGCTAATCCCCGACTGTCTCACCACGATGCTTCTGGTCCGTGAAGATATCTAATATTCTTTCCTCCTCCAATTTTCCCCACAACAACCACCCATGTGAGGTAATTTGGTCTGAAAGAGAGTGACTGGCCCAAGTCACCCATGCCAATATATCAGTTGCCAACTTTGTACATCAGCACATGACTCATTTTATATTTAGGAACTGATATAATGTACAATACTCTTGTATGTATTCTAGAAAGTGCTTTATCAGATCTTGCAGAGTAGCCATGACCCCCGCCTCCCCAAAAATACCACATGGGACCTGAGTTGGCAGTCATATCCTTATAGGGATTCTACTGGACAAGCCAGTAGTCTACACATGATAAACAACAATTGAAATTAAATTTAGGCCATTTCCATTATTTAATTTGTCACTAGTGGCATAGCTCTATAAGAAATTGTATTTTCTTCCTTTTTCTTTCAGGTCAAAGAGACGAAGAGCTGCCAACTCTGCTGCACTTTGCTGCAAAATATGGTTTAAAAAATCTCACAGCCCTGTTGCTTACATGCCCAGGAGCTCTGCAGGCTTATAGTGTTGCCAACAAGTATGGTCACTATCCTAACAACATTGCTGAAAAGCATGGCTTCAAAGATCTCCGTCAATTCATTGATGAATATGTGGTAAAAATATTTTTTTCTCTCTGTTATAATGGGAAGAAAAGTACTGGGGCTAAAACTTAACAGTTCATGACTCACATAGAAACAATAGATTTGAAGGTTTCAGTGATATATGTATGTTTTATTCCACAATAATAAACATGTGAATGATATTGAGTTTTCCAGAAGGTGAAGGGGCTATTCATGTACTGAAATAATAATTTGAAAGACAGATCTTAAGGAGTCCTCACCATTAATCTAAATGGGACTTTTAGAATTAGATCTAGAGACATTTGATACTTCAGTTTTCACACAGGAAAAAATCTGTATGGGTTAAGTAGATTCCAAAGGAGCACAGAGGAACTTATATGTGCACAATCACTGTGGGGTATATATATCTACATTGCAGGTATCAACTAGTATCTTTTTGAAAAGGAGCAGAATTGGGAGACAGTTTTGTTGAACTTTCCTTGGATTCTTGTAACCGAAATATTCTGAAGATGTAATATGCAATATATAATAAACTTTCTTAATTAGAATATTACATTTAGAAAGAAAAAATCTAGGACAGCTATATAATATGGGAATACATGGCTTGTAAATACATTAGAGAAGGACTTTGAGGTGATCACTGATAACAAGCTGAACATGAATAATAAATATCAGAGAACTGAGCATTATATTTCCAAATAGATATTAAATTAGAGAAAGTTCAGAGGAAAGCAGGGAAGAAGATACAAGTACTTAAAGAGATGCCCTATGTCAATAGGTTGAAGGAACTAGAGATCTTCAATCTGGAAGAAATGAGACTGAATGGAGATATGGTATGTTCAGGTATATAAAGAGAAGTTACAGGGAAGATGGTCCAGAACTATTTTCCATGACTACAAAAACCAGAGCCAAACCTAATAGCTATAAGTTCCAGCTGCCAAGATTTTATTTGAATACAATTTCCTAATGATAAGATCTATTCAGAGCCACTTTGGTGTAGTGGTTAAGGCACCAGGCTAGAAACTAGGAGACAGTGAGTTCTAAACCCACTTTAGACCAAGGCTAGCTGGATGACCTTGGGCTAGTCACTCTCAGCCATAGAAAGAAGATAATGACAAATTACTTCCAAAATCTTGCCAAGAAAACTATAGGGACTTGGTCCAGGAAATTGCCAGGAGTCATAATTTTCTCTAAGGGACGAAAACCAAAACAACAACAACAACAACAACAACAACAACAAAACACTCAACTGCACAGCAGTGGAATAAATCTATTTATGAAAGTTGTAGGGTCTCCTCTACAACTGTCCTGGGCAGTCATCTCTCATGGAAGGTTTAACTGATTCCAACACTTCGCAATTGGCTAGATGATCTTTGTGTCTCTTCCTATTCTATGATTCTGTTGTTTTATACATGATACACTTGTAGACTGGGTTTCACTTTGCTACCTTTAAATTAGGTTCAGTAGGACCATATTTTGAACTGAAGGTATTAATCAAGCAGTCATTACTGTGCTAGAGAGACCATTTGCTTTTCTTTTTCTTGCAGGAGACAGCCGATATGCTGAAATCTCACATAAAAGAGGAGTTGATGCAGGGGGAGGAAGATGGCTCTATTTATGAGTCCATGGCTCATGTCTCTGCTGACCTTCTGATGAAATGTTCACTGAACCCCAGTTGTGATGAAGAACTCTATGAATCCATGGGTGGTTTGATCCCCAGCTCTACAGAGGACTTATGTACATATACAGTGCTCCTTATTTATTTATTTATTTTAAAATTTGATTTATATGCCGCCCTTCTCTGGAGACTCAGGACGGCTTACAATGCGTTAAGCAATAGCCTTCATCCTTTTGTATATTTATACAAAGTCAGCTTATTGCCCCCACAATCTGGGTTCTCATTTTACCTACCTTAGAAAGGATGGAAGGCTGGTCAACCTTGAGCCTGGTGAGATTCGAATTTACAGTAATTGCAGACAGCTTGATGTTAATAACAGTGCTTTTAGTCTGCTGAGCCACCAGGCTCTGTTTATCTCATAATATAAGTGATGGTAGCTACTAACTAATGTTAAGCCAAAATTTCTTGTCACTTTAAATGTGGCTATTTTGCAGATGTGATGCAAAGTTAAAACATTTAATTTTGCATGGGAATGTAAGTAAAAAAAGCAAAAAAGCAGAAAGGGAACATACTTACCTGCAAGCAGCAATGTTCATGTAGTGGATGTTATATTTACAGATTTGGCAGACTGTATTCTTTATAGTATTGCACTTCAAGTTTGGATATGGAGGAACATAGAACATAGAATACAAATAGTTCTCAACTTGCAATCACAATTGAGCACAAAATTTCTGTTGTTGAGTGATACATTTGTTAAGTGAGCTTTGCCCCATTTTATAACCTTTCCTGCCACAATTGTTAAACAATCCTGCAGTTGATAAATTAGTATCACGGTTGTTAAGTGAATCTGGCTTCCCTGTTGAGTTTGCTTGTCACAAGGTTGCAAAAGGTGATCACATGACCCTGGGGCACTGCAACCATCATAAATATGTGCCAGTTGCCAAATGTCAACTGTCCCACTCAGTCATCTAGCAAAGAAAGACTCCTGACCATTTGTTTTGCCAAGACTATATTTGACTAAAGCTTAAATAGTTACAGAACTAGGATAAGCTGAATCTGAGGTTTTCCTGTGCAAACAACACAAAGGAAAGTTCCGTCTGCTACCCCTCCCACCATTCCCCCCTCTCCTCCCCCATCCGTTATCTGCAAATGTCCAATCAGGTGCTTGTATATTGTTTAGGAAACAGGTGCTCAGCTCTCACTCTGCATATTATTAGTTGATCTTGGCTGGCTGTAGCTTCTTACAAGGCTCACCTGGACTTCCATTCTCCCCTTATTCCTTATATTCCAATCTTTCCCTCTCCCCCCGCCCCCCAAAATCAGATCATGAAGCTTGGATAGGGGAGATGCAGCCATGACACCAAGTGTTAGAAATTCTGTGTATAGCCCTACAGAACAAACAGTCCACATGTGCTTTTATGTTTAACTGTCACAAGGAAGCAGGAAACTTTTTATTCAAAGAAAAGGCATAGAGCTGTTGTGGCCCGCTGGCGGTCAGCAGAGCTGGCAGCAGAGTTGGACAGTGAGGAGGTTGGGGAGGAACTTGGGCCAGTCCTGGGGGCTGGGGAAAGCTTGGACGAGGGCTCTGCATTGCAGGCAGAGAGAGAGATAGACAGCAGCAAGGCAGTGGAACAGCTGGAGCCCATTCTGTGTGCACATGTGCAGAACTGCCAGAAGACAAGAACAATTAAGAAAGCAGGGTTGACTAGGGATTAAGGCCACACCTTAGAGATAATTGGCCCCTCCCATAGGAAATAAAAGAGGAGCAAACAGAGAGTCGGCTTTTGCAGGAAACAATTAGTTCATTCCGTGACTCTGAGAGATTCTGTTCCAAGTTTTGCCTTGTACTGCAGTTGGAAACAATTTACATGGCAACTTGCCAAACAAGATAAAGTGTGTTGAGAAATATTCCTTTGAAAAACTGTTTGGACAAACTTTGCTGACTGTGAGTGAAGGTAATTCACAGTTGTGTAAATAAAAGAGGTTTTGCCAGTAATTCCTGCCTCCTGCTTATTAAGGGGGCCTAGGTCAGAACAAGAACAGGTCTGTCAAACTGGTGGCCCGCAGGCCGTATATGGCTCATGGAGACCATGCCCACCCTGCCTCCACAAAGGCAAAAAACATCACAATCCATCCTGCGACATGATTGAGTTTGAAACCCCTGGCAGAGTATACCATAGGTGCAACTACAAACTTATAACCCTGGCATCTACTGGGTGAAGAATATATATCTCTACTAAATACTGCTGTAGTTGTACAAAATACATGAACACTGTATTTCAACACCCCCACTCAACAAGTACTCCTGATGTTATTCCATGAGGTAGCGCTGAAAATGTCCATGTCTGCAGTTCATTAAGACATGTCATCTCTTCATTGCAGCTCTGATCCACTTTTGTTTCTCATGGGTTGGAAGTCTTTGCATCTCATCCCATGAATCTGGCTCTGGTTTTAATGATTCGCAGGCAACATAGGACAGACGCCTTTGTTGCTTTTGGTGATTTCCTGATTGAAGCCTCTTGTGGCATGTTTTCTTCTTCTACAGTATTTGGATAGTCTATGTTAATTTCTATTTTTATGTCACTTTGTTGCTTATCTTCATGTGACACAGATGTGAAATTTCCCTCAGTTTGAAGTATTTCTGTTAGTTCATGAAATTCTGAAGTTTCATCAAAATTACACCTCTACTGATGGTTACCTTGTTTGTGTCTTGGCGTAGAATTCTGTATCCCACAAGCATACCGTCCTTTGTGCAAGTATCCCATTTTGTACATTTTTCTTTTGGGATGTGCACATAGGCTTTGCTTCCAAAAATGTTTAGATGGCTCAAATTTGGGGCCTTTCCATTCACACAGTTCATATAGAGTTTTCACAGTTGATTTTCCTGGTAGTTAATTTTGCTGATAGTATGTGGTCATAATTGCCTCTGTGCTCTGATCTTTTTGATCTTTCTCTATCCACTCATCTGAAGGGTGTTCTGGCCTAACTGCATTTATGCATTTCCACGATCATACTCTTTTTTTAAAAAAAAAATTTAAAACACATAAACATACAAAAGTCTTTCCAGAACGAGCATTGATCCGGTCATAAGTAGGTACAATTACTAATCCCTCTTTTTTTAAAAAAAAAATTCTTCCCAAATCCCCGCTAATTACCAAAAAGAAAAAAAAAAGGAAAAAAAGAATGGAAAAATTCTTCCTAACTTATATATTTTAACTCAAATCAATTACCTTCTATTATTTTTCCACAAATCTTAATTTCAAAATAGCACAACTTAATTTTCTCTAACATTATTGCCCTAAATTCTATCTTAAAAAAAAAAACAATTCTTAAAATCCATTACACTAATCTTAAAATCCTTAATTCAATATCATTTCAATTTCTTTCTCTTTTAACATGGATAGATACATTTTAAAGACATAAATCAACAAATGCGGCCATGCGGGTGGTTATGGGAGCGACGTGGTGCTCCCATGTGACTCCCCTCCTGTGCGAGCTGCACTGGCTCCCGGTGGTCTTCCGGGTGCGCTTCAAGGTTCTGGTTACCACCTTTAGAGCGCTCCATGGGATCGTTTTCCGGGCCAATTATTTAATTATATTTTAATGGTTTTTAACATTTATATTATATGTATTTTATTTGGCTGTTCACTGCCCTGAGTCCTTCGGGAGTAGGGCGGCATACAAATTCAATAAATAATAATAATAATAATAATAATAATAATAATAATAATAATAATAATAATAATAATAATAATTCCAGCATTGTCATCTTTATTTCTAAAAGTTTATCCCAGTATATAATCTTCCTCTTAATCATCCTCTTTTGGCTTTTAATCAGCATAGTCTTCTTAAGTTTTACTGTTATTCCCAGTATAATCATCATTTTTGCTGTCAATCCCAGCCTAATTGTTTTTATTGTTACTGTTATTCCCAGTATAATCTTCTTGTTTTGCTGTCAAACCCAGCATAATTTTCTTAATATTTTACTGTTATAACCAGTATAATTCTCTTAAGTTTTGCTGTCTATCATAATCACCTTAGTTGCTGCTTATCCCAGCATAATCACCCCTTTTTTTAATTTACCATCCATCAATACATTACTTGTTAATATTCACTCACATTGTCATTATCCTCTTTGTAACAATTTAACATTGAGGCTTAAAGGTTCTTACTTCAAACACTTCCTTATATAAATTAATAAATTTCTATTAATATATTCTATTCCTCTCATATTCTTACTTTTTTTCTTTATTTCATCTCATTACATATTATATTATATTCTTCTCATATTCATATTCATTTTTGTTAATCTGTAAAACCTCCTTTTTATTATTACTTTCCATTTATTATTGCTTTATTTTTAATCATATTGTTTCTCTCTTCTTTTTTCCAGCCGTGTGTATATCATTCCTCCTTTCCATTGTCTGTAACATATATTTCATTTCAGTTTCAATGTTCACAATTTAATTTTCCATAAATCAATTTAGTTCTTTATAATCTATTTCAAACACATCACATCAATTTTCTTCTTTTGTTCCTGCGCCATTTGACTTTTTTTGTTCCTACGCCAATTAATCCAATTGTAAAAGCTCCCTCATACTTTCTCTTTTTTCCAACAAAATCCAATCAACTGCAGACAATAAAGAAACAGCTCCATCTTCAAAATCCCACAGTTGCTATCTGAAGTATTCACGATGTTCCCAAACAAAAGGTCAGTTACAATGTTTCTTTTTAGATCAGAAGGTGTCCCTCTACAATCGAGAATTTCCTTTAGTCATGCAAGTATAATTCAATTTTAAAGTTATTCAATTTTGCACCAAGTCTCAATGTTTATTTTTCAGATTTAGTCTGTTCAGATATCAATTTTCTTTTCCTTGTTTTTAGTTTTAAAAAACAAACTTTATTAAATTTAAAAAGATAAAATTATATAAAACATTCACAACCTTAAAATACAATCAACGATACTAATCACAACCAACAAACAAGTATATATGGTATATAAAAGTACAAATGTACACAATGACTTATTTCCTTTTTTATCTTGATGATGGTGTATAATTATTATTTTTAATTTCTTACTAAATTTTAACTTTACCTTCTTTTCCATTGGTTTATCCAC